ACCACAACACATGAATAGAACATTGTTTGGTGGGACTATGAGCGAGCCGGGACGCTTCGCCGCTCCCGCCGCGAGGTCATTCCGCCGCCGCCGCTGCCGATGCGATCCCGGACAGAGGCAGTGCAGCGGTCGGCCCTCCTTTTTGCCCCCCCAGCCGCGGCAAGCTGTACGCAGGAGCGGATCTGCGCGCATGCACCGCCACGGCCAGGCCGATGGCGAATGCGGTGGCGCAGCCACCGAAGACCATGCCCGAGCTCCCCGGCATCCTCGATCTCAAGAGAAGTGCCAGCTGCGCAAAGTAGCCGTCAGAGCACTTGAGCCTCTGTATGGGCGACATGCTCTTGCCGAGCGCGTCCGCGATACCGACGGCGGTTGGATTTCTGCCGTGTATCGCCTGGCGGGTAGGAGCCCAAATGGGTTGCCGCAACCACCTCTGCCTTTTTCAGATGGTAGGCTTCTTGCCTTCTTCGGGGTTTGGTGTGGGAGAGCTGGCAAGGATAGACGGCGGTGGCGACGTGACCGCATTGAGAACAATATATTGAACACAACAGTTCCTGGCCCGCCGGCCTGGTACAGGGGCAGGATGTCTCTGCAGACCTGGACGTCCAGGAGGCCAGACTGCCAGAGGTGGATGGTGAGGATGTGGTGCAGGTTCGGGACGGCCTCCGTCAACTCGCACGCCCGCAGGAACTTCTGGAAGCTGGAGCCCGCCGACCCCTCTTGGGAGTCCAGGGAGGCAACCGGCATGGGAAAGACCGCCGGTGGTCGTCTGCCAGCGATGCCGCCAGAGCCAGAGGGGCAACACCTCTGACCATTCTTCCAGGGGTCGAAAATGGGGCGTCGCCCTGACTTTAAGTCGGGCCTGCTCCCCTGGAGGCCGATTTTGGACGCAACATGAAGAATACGCCGAAAATGTTCAAAACTACGGAAAACATAGTCCACTGACTTTTTTTGGACTATTCTCTACTGAAACAATTATCACTGGACTATTTTTGGACTATTCTGGAATCTTCCTCCTGTAGAGGGAGAGGCCCGACTCAACCCCGACTGTGGAAACCTCACGGGTGGGGCTCGCGCGCGGGGCAGCTGTGGGGCTCGGCAAGAGGGCCCCCTGGCGCGGAGCCCCGGCTTCTCTTTCGAGGCCTCCTGGATGGGGTTGGAGGATCGCGCCGCATCGACGATGCATCGGCGATACATCGCCGATGCATCGGCGATGCCTCGCCGACTCGGCGAGGCACCGACCGACGCCATCGGCGTGGAGAGTATCGAGCTCAACGTTGAGCAGCATCGCCGATGCGTTGGCGATGCGGCGCGATCCTCCAGCCCCATCCACTCGGACCCCATCTGGGAGGCCTCGACTCTTTGACCGAGCTCGGCCTCACTGGTGGTGCCCAGAAGCCATCCCGCCTTCCGACTGGATCAGCGCTCTACCGACGGCACAAGGCTGGGGCCGGCAGGCCCGAACGCATCCCCCGGCCGTCGAGGACGAGCCTCGGGCCAGGCCGCCCCTGAGACATGCGAGAAATGCGGGGGGGCTCCTCCTCCTCCTCCTCCTCCTCCTCCTCCTCCTCCTCCCTCTCCTCCTCCTCCACCACTCCTCCTCCTCCTCCTCCTCTCCTCCATTCTCCTCCTCCTCCTTCTCCTCCTCTCCTCCATCCTCCTCTCTCCTCCTCCCTCCTCCTCCCTCCCTCTCCTCCTCCTCCTCTTCCTCTTTTCTCCTCCTCCTCGTCGTCCTCCTCTCCTTCCCCTCCGTCTCGCCTCCTGCCCCCCTCCTCCTTCCCTCCCTTCCTCTCCCCTCTCCTCCTCCTCCTCCCGCTCCTCCTCCCTCCCTCCTCCTCCCTCCTCCTCCTCCTCCTCCTCCTCCTCCTCTCCTCCTCCTCCTCCCCCTTCCCCCTCCTCCTCCTCCTCCTCCTCCTCCTCCTCCTCCTCGGGGCACACCGGCAAAGAGCTAGTGAAACAAAGGGTGCTTCCTACGCGTGTGGCCCGCTCTGGCATACAACCAGCGGTTCCTGATGGAATCGGGTCCTGAGCCCATGTGCCTTGCCCCAAATCCAGCTTGTCAGCCCTGAGCCGTTTTCGAACAATCCTGGGGCCCGTGGAGAGCCCAGGGAGTCCCACAACGGCGAAAAACTTCAGGGCCCATTTTCCGGAGGACCCGTTTGCTTCATGGCGACCGCTCCAGATGCCCAGAGTTCAAAATGTTAGCCAGCGTGGACCCCAAACAGTGTGTTCTAGCATACTATGTGGTGCAGTCCATGTGGTGCAAGATGGGAGGTGCATATCTATTCGGTGTGAGCTATGTGGTGTGCAACCTCACGTGCGAGCTGGTACAATGTATGCAAAAATAAATGGGTTGTGCGCTAGGTAGTGCAGCTGGCCTCAGCAGGCACCCCGAGTATAAAGAAGAAAAGACGGCATGTGGACATAAACTGTTGGCGCTCCGCGCGGATTTCCTGGACCTGCGCTGGACCCCCCCCCCTGGCGCGCGGAGCGAGCCAGGGGCGGCGCCCGGGGTGCCCAGCGCGGATCCAAGCAGTCCGCGCGGAGCGTCCAAAGTTTATGCTTCTGCCGTTTCCTCTTCTTCGAGAAGAGTCCGGCGCTCGGGTGTGGAGTCCGCCCCGGCCTCCCGCGGCAGGCGCAGGCCTCCGCTCATAGAGGCTCCGGGCCCGCGCGGCGTCGGCCTCGGCCTCGGCGCTCTGCTCCGCGAGCGCCAGCAGCAGCATGCAGCAGCACCTCTCGCGGGCCGTCCGGCTGCGCGCGAGAACGACCCCGAGCAGGAGAGGGACCTGTGGCGCGCGGCCCTAGCAGGGGGCCACCGCGGGGCGACATCCCAGCGCGCCAGCCAGCGCTGGGGGGCACTGAAGCGGGCCCCTCTGGGCCCGCACCAAAAGGTCACCCCGGCGAAGGGCCGCTCTTGCGTGTAGCCGCTGCCGGCGCCACTCCTCGGACGTCGCGGCACCGCGCCCGCGCGAGGCCCGGCGCGCGGTCAGCCTCGCGCCCCGGCGGGGCCACGGCGCGGCCGGGCGGTGGCGCCGACAGCCCGCGGTCGGACCCCTATCGGTGATCAGAGGGCGATCGGAGGCCGATTCCGTGGAGGCCAGTCCACAGGAAGCCTTCCACAAAAAACCCAACCCTGAGACCCCAAGACGTCCATCGACCTCAAGAGCGGGAGCGCCGCGCTCTCCGCCACAAAACCATCGAGACCCAAGAAACCCAAGGCACCCTGGAGGCAAGCAGCGCGTTTCTTGGCATGGGTCTCCACTGTGCGTCCCCCCTGAGCCTGTCCCATTGATGGTGATGATGATGATGATGATGATGATGATGATGATGATGATGATGATGATGATGATGATGATGATGCTGATGCTGATGCTGATGCTGATGCTGATGCTGATGCTGATGCTGCTGATGATGATCATCATCATCATCATCGTTGTCGTCCTCGTCGTCGTCGTCATCGTCATCATCGTCATCATCATCAGCATCAGCATCAGCATCAGCATCAGCATCGGCATCAGCATCAGCATCAGCATCAGCATCAGCATCATCATCATCATCATCATCATCATCAGCAGCAACATCATCGCTGCCCCTGGTCTCGCGGGCTGTCGGCACCACCGCTCGGCCCGGGTGCGGCCGAGCGCAGAGTGCGCACGGCCTGGCGAAACCGCGCCCGCGCGTGGCGCAGCGCGCGCGGGCAGCTTCGCGCACTGGCGGGGCCACGGCTGGTGCGCGAAATCCTGCCCCCTTTGCGGTGAGGGCGTTGCACAAGGACGGAGTGTACAGGGAACCCAGGGTCTGGAACCCGGTGGGACTCCAATCGCGGATCGGCCATGGATACCACCGCCGCCCTCATCAGATATGGAATCCCTCAGGGTCTGAAGCCTCCTTGGCACATTCAACAGCGAACGCCCCCACCGTATGCTGGTTTTTACGACCTCCCGCGCCCCCAATTTGACATTGGCGGGCTGCGCCGCGATGCGTTCATCTACCGACTGGCCATAACCTTGCGGCCCGCTGGCGATGTCAACCAACGTTGAATCGGGGGCAGGGGGGGGGGCGTTGAAGTTTGCGCTGGCACCCCGGCCGCGCAGGTGGTGCAAGATTTTCCATCAACCGCACCTCGCTTACGGGCAAGTGTCCGGTCCAGGCCGCGACGCGCGAGGCGTGCTTCTCTTCGCGCCCCTGGAAGTGACCAAGCCGATCTGACAGATCGTTAGTTGCTCGTTCTGGGGACCTCCCTGGAGCCACTCGCTCCACTCGTGCGTCGACGCTGCATGGAGCGTCCGTCGACTTGGGTCGAACTTGATTCCAGCCTGCGTCGAATCTGAGTCGACTCCGAGTCGAGCCCGAGTCGAACCGGAGTCGAACTGGAGGCAAACTAGTCGACCCAGAACCGAAAAGATATCCCGAAGCGAGCGTCCGAAGGTCGAGAGGTCGAGGAGGGGACACGGGAGCCGTGTGCCGTCGCGCAGGCAGAGCGGGGGCCTCGGAGCATGGGCGGCACGGAAAGGGGGCCATGGCCAGGGGGGGGGGGGTCCTCTCCAGCGAGGGGCCGCCGTGGGCACAAGTCTTCCAACCCTCCCTCCCCCCTCCTTCCTCTTTCCGCAGGTCGGGCCACGCCGGTCCGCCCGGCGCCCCTCCCCCACCAGGGCCACTCTGGCTGGGGAATGAAACTGTCGCTGATGCGTCCCAGTGAGCCTCATACTCTGACTCCCAGGCGCTCATCGTCGCCCCTTCATGGCCAGAGCCTTTTAGCACGGGCAGTGAGCCTTGTCAGGCCTGCCGCCTGGTACCCGAGGCCCCTCTCTACGGTCGGGAACTCTTGCTTAGCGTGGCGCGGCGGCGTCCCCAGCGACACGCTATGCCTTGCAGATGAATCGCGTGTCGCTCCGCTCCGCGGAGCAGGATGCATGGAAAAGCTCGGGACGCTGACGCGTCGCGCCGATGCGCGGTGGGCCGGAACCGGCGGCGCGACACGCGAACCAAACGTTCCTGACTCTGAGGCGAAGCCAAGACCAAGACAACATCAGACTGGGACGAATCGGGGATCTCTGAGATCCGGCGATTCTGCAGGATGTGTCGGGTGCCGTGGCGGTTCCAGAGCGCTCCAGAACGCTCTGAGAGAGTTCTGGGGCGCACTGGAAAGGTTCATCCGGGTCATGGCCCCGCCCGACCCTCCTAAACTACTGCCCCTTCTCTGCAGGTGCCTCCCAAAAATCCCACCTGGCTCCCCCCTCCAAAGGAATGGAGGCCACGGGGGAGCAGAGAAGTGGCCGAAAGACACGCGACGGGGCGGCAACCAGGATGGGCTGAAGGACCGGGTGGATCGCAAGAAGCTGCACAAGGCTGCTGAGTTCGACGGCCTCGCCGAGGAGCCGACGACTATCGAGTCGCAAGAGGGCAGTCACGTAGCCGAGCAGGAGCACAGGATCTGTCCGCCCCCAGTGATCCTCGCAGCCTGGCCTCCGGGTCACGGCTCGGGCCTCTGGAGGCCGCTCGGGACAGCTCGGGCACCCCCAGGGGAACGCTCGGCGCGGCGCAGCTGCTGGAAGGCACCCCGAGGCAGGAGCATATCCCTCGCTGTTCCCCATGCCGGAGGCACCTCTGTGACGCACGCTGGGCAGCGGGTGGCCTTTCTACCTGCCCGAGGCGCCCACGCGAGAGCGCGCGGCGCCGCGGGCACTCGCGCGGCGGCGGACTGGCACCCGAGAGGGAACCCTTCCGCCCGACCTGGACAGGGGAGGCACCCGGATGTCCGACGGCGGTTCTTGTTGGGCGACGAGTGCGATTTCGGAAACCCTGAACCCGAAAACGTTCTCATCTCCTGGGGGCGCACTTTCCACCTCCGCCGCCTTCCGCCGAGCTCCCGCCGGCGGAAGCTCGGCGGCCTCGTTTGACTTCCGCCGACCTTCCGCCGACCTTCCGGGACCCTTCCGCCGTGGAAGAGATGGGCAACTCCTTCGATCCCCGAAGGTAAGGCCATTCTCGGAACGCCTCCGTGTGTCCGAGCGTGGCTCTCCCCGAAGGCCCGGCCCCCTTCCACGGGAACGGCTCTGCATCCCGGGCCGTCCGTCGACGGTCCCAGGGGCTGGGCGAGGGACCTGGGAGGCCGACGAGTACAATCGCAATAACAATAACAGCAACAGCAACGGCAACAACAACGACAACAACATCAACAGCAACAGCAGCAACAACAACAACAACAGGACCACCACCAACAACATTAACATCAACAACAACACCAGCAACAGCAGCAACAACAACAGCACCAACAACACCACCCACAACAACAACAGCAACAACGGCAACACCACCGCCATCAATAACACCAACAACACCACCAACAATAACAACAGCAACAATCACACCAACAACACCACCGACAACTGCAACAGCAACAACATCAATAACACCAGCAACAGCTACACAAACAACTACTACTACACTTACAACAACATCAACAACAATACCGACGCCAACACCAACACCACCACCAACACCACCACCAAAAGCAACAACACCAGTCCACACCGCAGACCCTCACTTCATCCACGCGCCCATGGACAGTGAATGACCGTTCGCCCCCGCACTCTGACTATGGAAAAGATAATCCATCAACATTAACAACAGCAACGACACTAACAACATGACCACCAACAACACGTTTAAAAAAATACACAACAGCAGCAACAACAGCAACAATAGCAGCAACACGCACAACAGCAACACCAACAACAACAGCAACAACATCATCAACAACACCACCAACAACAATAACAACACACACAACCAACACAACAACAACACCACCACCAACAACAACAACAACAGCAACATCAATCCGCACCGCGCAACCTCACTTCAGCCACGCGCCCAGGGACAATGAATGACCGATCGCCCCCCTCACTTTGATGAGCAAGAAACGAGAACTCAATCACAGCAACACGACAAAATGCCCGTCGTGCTTTCTCACAGCGAGAGGGTGGCAGGGGATAAAGGGGCGGGGAGGCGGGGCGGCTGCCTGGCGGACCCCCCTTTTTTCCGCGCTCGAAAAGGTATCTGGCGTGCTCCGCTCGGGGGTTGCCAGAAGTGTCCCTGGCCCAGGGGCGTGCCGCCCAGGTGGCCTCCTGGGCCTCGTGGAGAGGCTCGGCTTCACGCAAGAGTGACCCTGAGCAAACGTGGCCTTTGGTGCGCGGATTTTCGGAGGCCGCAAGGGGACCAAACACAAGCGCGCAAGACGCCACTGCCGCCTCGCGTTCGGCGATTGGGGGACCCCATTGGGCCCGCACAACAGGTCACTCCGGCGAAAGGTCACTCTTTCGTGTAGTCGAGGGGTGCCCTGGAGGCCACGGGGGCCTCCCTGGAAATCCTGGGGGCACCCCGTCCCGTCCGCAGATCCATGAGGTCGGCCTGCTTGAAAAGGCAGCGGGGCCTGCCAGATGGGGCCAGAGGCTTCCAAGAAACCAGGATGGGGCGCCAAAAGGCCCCCAACCCTCTCGGAACGGTGGTGCGCGGAAGGACCACCCGCCGACTCGGCACACCATGCGACCGAGGCCGTGCAGTAACCGCGCCTGGTGGTGGAGGGATCAAACGGGGCGCGGCCGTCCAAGTACCCAGAGATCCGACGTCGTGATTTTTTCACTACGGGGTCCCTGGAAATCTCGACCCATTCCCCAGGACCGGTATCCAATCCTGAGTCGTTTTTTGGTGGTCGCGCGGCCCGGCAAGGT